ACCAGTGATGGTCTTATTCATCCTTTCAAATCCAGTCTTACATCTTTTAACTTTATTTCACATGAAAGTAGCTCCCTTCAAAGCCACTTTTCATCAACCTTTACTTAAAAGGCAGAGGGAGTGTCACCCCAAAATGGCTTGATTTGAGACAATCTGTACTTTTAGAATTTATCTCTTCTTCTCGGTGTATGTGTGCGTGCGTGTGTGTGTGTGTGTGTGTGTATGTGTGTGTGTGTGTGTGTGTGCATGCGTGCCTGTGTGTGGGTGCACTCACCTATGCATGTAGAACTGCAAGGTTGACATGAGTCTTTGTTCATGGGTTTCAACCTCATTTGTTGACATAGGGTTGTCTTGATTCTGCCTCCCTAGCACTGTGGATATAGTCTCATGCAGTCACATCCTGCTTTTCATGTGTGTGCTTTTCATGTGTGTGCTAGTTCCTATGCTTGTGTGAAAGCACTTCACCAACCAAACCATCTCCCCAGCTCTAGGTTACACAGGATATTGGTCTCCATAAGAAAATGAGATTTAATAAATAAAACCTGCCTTATAGGACTATTGTAACTGTTAAAAGGTGAGCAGTTCCTCGTTTCCTTTATAAGTTCTCTAATTTTAATTTTGGGGATCTTTTGTCAACATTCAATCTAACGATTGTCCTGATCATCTGGATACTGTCTCCAGGCTGTTAAATCCAGGAGCCCACAAGGGTTTCCATTACTCAACGTGTACCTGGCATGTAGTATTAATAGGTGTTCAGTAAAGATTTGTCATCTGAATCACTCAGCATATGGCTTGCCTGTGACTGTAAGGTTAGAAACAACACCAAAAAGCAGTTATAGGCAATTGGATGAGGCACCTCTATTGCGCTGATCACACCAAATATCTACTAATTTCTGCTGATTCATGGGAAAAGTAATTCATACAAATGCTTGTAGTAATTAGTGTTGTCAACTTGACAACATCCAGAACCACCTGAAAGATGGAACTTTGGGCAAACCTATGTGGGGGAATTCCCTTAAGTCAATCTATGTGAGAAGACTCATCTTAATTGTGGGTGGCACCATTTATGGGCTGGATCCTGGGCCTTTCTTGCTGTGGACATGGTGTGATGAGCTAAGTCTCACTGCTGCTGCTGCTTTGACTTTTCCTCCATGATGGACTGGGCTTTGAACTGTGAGCTAAATACATCCCCCATCCACCCACCAACCCTTCCTTCCTTCCTTCCTTCCTTCCTTCCTTCCTTCCTTCCTTCCTTGTTTCTTTCCTTCCTTCCTTGTTTCTTTCCTTCCTTCCTTGTTTCCTTCCTTCCTTTCTTCCTTCCTTCCTTTCTTGTCTGGGTATTTTATCACAGCAATAGAAAAGAAACCAAAACAAGTCTTAAGCTAAGTGAGACATTATCACACTGTCATTTCTTCTTATTCCTCACATCTTCCCTGTGAAGAAGAGAGGGCAGACAGTTTTTTCTGGGCATGATGCTGGCCAGCATGTATTCACCCAGGGAAATGTCACCCTGAATAACACAAGAGCTTGAGAAATAAGTTCAGATTCACACTTCTCATCATTGCTCTCTACTTTTACTTTAATTGTTGTTTTTTTTTGTTTTGTTTTGTTTTGTTTTGTTTTGTTTTGTTTTGAGACAGGGTTTCTATGCCTTGGCTGTCCTGGACTCAATATGTAGACCAGGCTGGCCTCGAACTCACAAAGATCTACCTGCCTCTGCCTCCCACAGTACTGGGATTAAAGGCATGCATCACCATTCCTGGCCTTTCCTCTTACTTTTGGTGGAGTCAAAATCACAGTCACACTTTCTAGGATTCAGGTAGTGAAATGGCAGCTGACTCTTTATCTAGGCTCCGCAGAACCTCTAAGACCTTTGGAAAGATGCCTATGGCCTGTGGCCCCAAGGAAGCCCTCAGGAAGTATGTCCCCGAGCTCTACCTAAAGGAATCAGATTGCTGTTACCAGCGTCAGGGCTGTTTCAAAGCCGAACTGGCAGCTCTTTATTCCTTGCAATACAGTCATGCTGATTCCAGTCCTAGACTCTCACAGGATCCTCAGTTCAAGGTGACGGCCCTTAGATCTTGGTGATTCCAGTACCAGGGAGGTTACATCTTAACAGACTCCGTTTCAGTCTTCTTCTTATGTTACAGCGACACAAATCAAGGCTTCCCTGGGGTCTGGGGTCTCTGAGAATCAAGACTCAGGGTGAGCCTCAGGTCACCTAAGTCAGTTCAGCCTCCTTCCTCCATATCCGTGTGCCCTCAAGGGCCACCAGGAAGCTGGTTACAAATAGAAATTCTAGCTGGAGTGATGATTCAGCAGTTAAGAGCACTAGTTGCTCCTTCAAAGGACTCAGGTTCAAATCCAAGCACCCACATGGCAGTTCACAACTGTCTGTAATTCCAGTTTCCTGGGGATCTGACACCCTCATACAGATGTACATGAAGGCAGAACTCTGATGTCAATAAAATAAAATATATAAAAAAATAATTAAAACAAAATCAAATTCTAGAACTCACCCCCACAGGTCCTGACTCAACTTACGCCTGGAGATTAAGGTGTTCAGGCATCTACTCCCTGCAACCCTGTGGGATTCTTAAGGGCAGGTTGTCACTGGTCCATATTTGAGGAAACACAGTCCTGCAGAGTAAGAGCAACACTGAAGGTTCCAAGTCAGGTTTTGTTTTTTTCCTCCAAAGATCAATGTCAAAGGAATTCCCACTGGGTATGATTACACCCATCATGGGGTACACAGGAACAATTATTATCAGAACTAAATTTAACTAGGAAGGGAGGGACTGTGTGCTGTCAAATGGGCTCCAGGTGCACTGTCATTTTCTTGTATGCAAATCATAGCCATGAGAGTGCTACAGGGAGAGGACAGAGTAGGGAGGGTACCACAGAGACAAAAAGCCTGCCGGAAACACAGAAGCTTAGGGAGCACTGACCTGTCTCCCCAGAACCCTGTATTCCACTGATTTGTCCAAGGAGGCAAGGGCATCTGGGTATTGCCAACTACAGGTAATTGTTTTATACTTTAGTCTCAGAGGTGCTAGGGAAGCATCTCCACTCACAACTGGAGACTCCACTGAGTTGACCTTGAACTGTGGAATGACCTTGAATTGGAAGGTGGCAGTGAGGCTGGAGGAGAAGCTTAAAGTTTGTTCTTGTCCAAGAATCGAGAAGATTTAAGTTTTTAAACACTGAAGGAGGTTTAAAATAGACTCCCTTCCCCCTCCTCCCCCCATTTCTGGTTATCTTGAAGTTTGCAACTTTTCAAGTATCTTTAAAAAGTAAATAAGGGCATAGAAGCTGAGGTAGCTAGGAACGGTAGCACGTGCATTTAATCCAGGCACTTGGATGGTAGAGACAGGCAGATCTCTGAGTTCAAGGCTAACCTGGTCGACCTAGAGTGCTGCTTACTGGCTTGCTCCCCATGGCTTGCTCAGCCTATTTTCTTCTTGCACCCAGGGATTTCTAATATCAGTCCAGAGACTGTGCCTCCCTCAGTGGGCTAGGCTCTCCCATATCAATCATCAATCAAGGAAATGGGCACTATAGACTCCCCTATAGACATTTTCTCAATTGAGAGTCCATTTTCCCAAATGACTCTAGCTGGGGTCATCACTGTGTTATGTTCAGAGTCTCATGTCCAGATAGAAGAAGACACTCAGTCATTTAAACAAGTTAATATCAAATCTGCCATGAAGAAAACACAAATCCTACCCTTGTTCTCTTAAATTTGGGAAAGGCAAAGGCCAAGCTCTCATGGTACCTAGACCTACCTCTTATGAATACATTTTCTTGGGATGGCAGCAGACTAGCTGTGACTGCATTCATGCTCCCTAAGTCAGCTACATCAGGATCACTAGGGTGTGTGGGCTAAAATCCCCAGTACTCCACAGTCAGGATGTCAGAGCTGGGAAACCTGTGCTCACAATGTTCTAGAGGATTCTCAGATGTGCTGGGGTTTGAGATCTGCTGCCTTGAATGCGGAGCACCCTAGCAATGCCTTTTGCTTTCTGAGGCTGTAGTTTTTACCATTATCTCAGGGTCTGTGCAATTCTGTGCACAAGTTCTAGCAGGTTCTGTGCACACTAAGTGCTGGGCAGAGATCAGCCTTCTGCAGCACTCAATACATGTACAGGAAAACCCAGCAACAACAAAGGGATTCTCCTTCTTGCTCTTAATCTGGTTAGACATGGTGAAAAAAAAAATGCATAGTGCCTTATTCTGCAAGCGGTAGTGATTTACATAAGGACTTAGGAGCTGCTAATTAGGAAGCATGGAATTCCTTGATCATTTAAAATGTGGACAAATACTCCTCACAGAGCAGCACTGAGCTACAACTATTCTCTGTGCACTGGTACACCTTATCCTGGTAAGAGAAGCCAACTGATTAGCTAGTCTGGGAAACTGAACTTGGGCATTTGATCTCTCTTATCTTGCTCTCTGACCTTGGACTCCCATAAGGCCAAGCAAGCAGGGAGACTGAATTAGCTTTAAGCAGCAAAAATGGAAGACTGTGTGAGAGAAGAAACTCGGGAGGTCGCTCCTCGTTATGTCATTTACCAGAGCGCAGACCTATGGCTTATCACTTCTCCAATGCCATGCCTCAGCCACCTTGATAATTCTGCTTTTCTTCCTTATTGGGGCTGTGAGGCTTTGTTTTGAGGTTCTGGGGTCTGGCAGAAGCAACTATTATGGTCTAGGGGGCTCCACTGGAGAACACTGTTAGTAACTAAGACTGACACCCAGCCGAATGATTCCATCCTTCCTCCAATTAGGCTAATGTGTCTAGAACATTCATCACTTCCTAAGAAACATACCTGGTTTTCCGTCCCTCCAGAATGTTCAGGTTTGGCATCGAGAGTGCCTTAAACGGCCTTGATGAGAAATCCAGTGGTCCTTCCCCAGCATTCCCATGACACGGGAGAGTTCACTGCCTGTATTGCTATGAACTGCTAGAATAACTTGATTTTTTTCTGCCTATTTTCTAGGGGACACCGGCAGCACAAAACACAGAAATGATATCACCTATTGTCATTTCCCGGTTGATTGATGAAAAGAAATTAATGGAAAATGGAGCCGTGTTGCCTCTGCCACAAGCAATCACTCAGCCTCAGCTGCGTACCACAAAGCCAGCTTTGGCCAGGCGCAGCGGAGTGAACATGCACAAGCCATTTGCTTTACCTCCAGACGGATTGGGGATCCTTATTCCCTCAGATGAGCAAGGACTGGAGACAGACCCACTGTCCACAGGGGACAACCTAGGCAAGAGCGCCCACAGGGGATTCTCATCTATTACCATTACTGCCCGGCGTGTGGAGCCTTCAGCCAGCAACTTGGTATGGGACACTGTTCGGGACCCGCTATGTCCCAAGTGCAGGACCAAGGATGCTCTGCTCCAAAGCACCCCGGTTCTGGCTAGTGGTGCCCATTTGTGTCAGCACAATGGATCCTTCACCTGTGCAGAGTTCTCAAGCAATGGCTCCAGAGAGGGGCTGAAGGTTCCCCATGCTCACTCAAGGATGTGCGCAAGGCAAGAGTACTGGGTCACCCACATGGATGACAAAGAAGACACTTTTTCTTCAGACAATTCACCGTCAAGAAAAGTCCCACTGGTATTCAGTTCCTGTGTCCACCTCCGGGTGTCTCAGCAGTGTCCTAATACCATTTACTACTTGGACAGGTCTCTTTCTGTCCCCCTTGAGCAACCTCAAACTGCTAGCCCCAAAACGCACAGGTCTGTCCTGTCGCTCAACCTCCGCTGTAGTTCCCACAGGTTAACAGCAGATGGAGTAGACAGCACAGCTAATGGAGAGCCAATCAGCAGAGCCCTGCCGCAGGAGCTCTGGGAGGGAAAGCAGGACCTCCTAGGCCCACAATGGGGCCAGCCACAGGAAGGTCACTGGAAGGGGAGCCCAGCATTGGTGCCAGTACATTTGGGGAGCGGCGCATGCCCTCAGACTAGCTCCCCTCCACTGGAAAATGTCAAACTTGCAGACGTGGGAAGGAACCAGGTCCCAGTGAGAAAGGAGAAAGAGGACCTTGCGGCGTGTCCCACCAGCAGCCACGCCAACCAACTCTCCATCCATATTCCTGGCTGGAGTTACAGGGCAGGTGAGTGATGTCCAGTATCAGTGTCCAGCTAAGGAGGTGCTGTTGAATTTCTTCTGCACAACTCACCCCAGCCGATCTTTCACGATGAAAGATTCTTTCACAACGAGCATTTGGTGGTCTCTGCCTCAAGTCAACAGCTCCCAAGTTGGTGCTGACGTCTGAGTAGACAGATATTCTCAGAGGAGAGGTTTGTAGGTAATGAGAAGCCAGCACTCAAGTTCCCTACCCCAACAATAGTGCCAGGCCACGCAGGCAACCTAGGGCAAGCAGCGGCTCCCACAGCAGCTGGCACAGAGCATGCTCACACCACGTTACAAAGCAGGATGGGAATAAAATGCCACCCACATCCAGATTTTTTTTTTAACTTTTCAGGAGTCCAATATCTGAATATTGGGGGATTGTCTAGAATTCTGAGGTTTTTGTTTATTTGTTTGTTTGTTTGTTTACTTTTTAATCAGGTCACTGATAAGTGTGTTAGCATCACCATTTAAAAACTACACCTGAGTTCTCTAATGGAGTGTGTGTGTGTGTGTGTGTGTGTGTGTGTGTGTGTGTGTGTGTGTG